CCCCCCCCTCCCGGTCACTCACTGTTCGATCTCGAGTTCACCGTTCGATCATCCACTGGATTCACCCGCCGCCGATCGGCCGGGCGCTCGCGACTTTCACTCACCGTTGAAAACGTTTTCGAGATCCGGTTTACCGGTTTGTTCAGAGCCACGGGCCGAGCTGCGCCTCCAGGATCGTGGCCGCATCAGTCCTGCCCATAACTCTGAGGTGGTTCAGCAGATCCGTCACCGCCGTCGGCTCCCGGTGTCTCGCTTCCCACAAGTCCAAGATGTGCTCGGTCGGGCTGGCCTTGGTCGCGAAGTAATTGATGTACCTGTCATTGAAACGAACACCCCGACTACGTGATTGCCGCTCGTGGTGGTGAAAATAGAGTGCCGGGTGAAATCCCGCGCGACCGATACTTGTTGTTACGTACATTGACGAAAAAAAGTCAGAGAGAACCAAGGGTTACGCGCGGAATCTCGTCGCGCGAACCGGATTGAATAGAAATCGAGAATCGTAGGAATTGAATACACTTTGTCTACCGAGAAATTTCAAATACATGCATTGTTGCATGTAAGATAAACACAGAAGAAATTAGTCAACTTACTGTGGGACACAGTTGTCCCCATCGGAAGCGAAAGGATGAAAGTAGGCTTTGGTGGGCAATCGAGTAAATCAGATGATAAATATGCCGAATCAGTTTCACGGTCGTCTTAATGAAATAAATGTTGAGCTTGTTCTATATGAACTAGAGATTAAAGAAGCATGCAAGTTTCGCTGAAAGAATTGGTTCAGCATAAACAGGCCTGAAATGAAACTGGATGTGAGTTGCGAACGACACGGGGAAGAGGAATGGGTTACCGACCTGTCGACCTGCAGCCTCTGCGCCAACATTCTCCAATCATTGCCGAGAGCGTTCGGCGGGTCCAGGCACTGGCAGAGCTGCTTCCTCAAGGATCTCGTGAACCGGAACGGTCGCAGAGTGGTGGCGTCGGTGGTGGCGTTGTTGGCATGGCCGCTGCTCACCACGGTGACTTCCCTGAGCGGCCTCGTGACGCTACCCGAGGAGATGAGCTGCTTCGCGCCGTCGTAAACGATTCTGAAGACCTGTCTCGTGTCGGAGCTGCCCTGCGAGACCTGCAGCTTGTAGCTCCTCGTGGTGGTCGGGCCAAAGGCCGTGTCCAGGCCGAAGGTCACGTGCTTGGCGTTCTCCTGGCAGTTCCAGGCGTCCCGGAACGAGACTTCCTGCCGTTCCGTGGGCGACTTGCTCTGCCACTCGTTGCCGACCTCCTCGAGGCTGACGCAGAGCGGCTCGCCGTTGTCTTGGAACAGCAGCGTGCGCGGCTTGTCCAGCAGATAGCCCCGTATCTGCGACTCGCGATCGACGATCGCCTTCATGGCCGCCTTCGTGTCCTCCACCGCGTACACCCGGACGCAGCACTGGCCGGCTTGGCTGGCGAAGAGCGCCAGTCGCAGCCGCTTCGTGGCGATCGCGTTCTCGCTACTCTCTCCAGCCAGCACGTAGCCGCGGAGCTGCTCGGTCACGATGAACGCCTCCGCGTGGTCCAGCTGTGTGAACAGCGGCGTGTTGATGGTCTCGTTGCCGAGGGTGAGCACTCGGGTCCACGTGATCGACTGGTGGTCCTTCGGCGCGAGCGACGGCGAACTGTCGTCGACGTTCACACCGTCGCACGCCCACACGCTCAGTTCCCAAGTCGCTGAGTGCAACATCGCGCAGTGCTCGAACTGCAGGATCACAGGCTTGTTGAAGGTCGCGGACGACGGACCGCAGGTCACCACGGCCGATAACTGGGTTATCCCGTCTGCGGGCGTGAAAAACAGTGCCGGGGAGGAGATCGACGTGTGAGCGATATCTCGTGGGCCGCTTAATGCCGTTATTGTGTTATCGTTCGCGCCGGCCGGGAGAGTTACCTCGTTTCGCGCCTATTGTTCGACCGAACACTTCGACGGCCGCTGTCAAGTACACGTGACTTTATTCCGCTTTATCGTCTCGGAAAAGAGTATTTGTCGACAGTCTATAATTGTGATATCGTACAGGGGGGTCGAATTTTTCTGATAAAAATTGTCACAGCGTCAACGATAATAACCTGACATGCATAGTATTATTTTTGCAGTTAAAACCACGAAGAAAAGATACAGTTGAGGCCGAAAATGACTATGATTTTTCCCTCGACGTAACCGAGCTTGAATTGACCGGAAGATTTTCGCTCGGAACATATTCTGAAAGTTCGTTCGGGCCGGGGAACACCCTGTGTAAAAATAATCTGCCGCACGGGGCGGCGCGCAGCTGCGCTCGTAAAACTCTCGTCGGCATCTGCTGAGCCGCGCGGCTCGCGCATGAATAATTCGCACTCACCAGGTAATCGGGGCCTGTAACGATCCTCGTTGAGCACCGCCAGATAGAGCTCCTCCCTGAGCGGCTTGGGCACCGCTCCCTCGGGCACCGACATCGAGATCCCGGAGTCCGGCAGGACGAGCAGGGCGCCGCGCGTGTTCACCGCCGCCCTCGCGACGTTCCCGGCCTCGAGCTTCGGCAGACGCACGCTCTCCGAGGCGACGTTGTACGTCGAGTCCGAGGACGGGTAGGAGCTAGTGACGCTGTTCTCGCTGTCGGAGTGGATCTGCTTGTCGCTGCAGGACTCCTGGGTCGAGGTGCTGGGCGTGGGCGACATCGGGGACGGCTGGGGCGCGATCGACAAGTGCGGCACGTCGTAATGGTGCTCCGAGAGGGATCTCGACATCGACAGCTTCGGGTCGAAAGGATACTCGTAGCAGGCCGGCACACTCGTCGCCGTTACGTCCGGCTGCAGGCTCAGCTTCTTGTCCTGGTCCGGGAAGAACTCCGGCTGGAATTCTGAAACGCACACGGCCGAGGCACGGCTCGTGGGTATCTCTGCGCGCTGCGGACAAACGCCGCCGAGATACTATTCCGACTTCTCTTTGCCACCTCCCCCCTCCCCGTCGCGGGTGAAATCGCGATATTCAGTCTTGCGATAAGTTTCGTCAGAATGAGTAATGTAAACGAGAACTTTTAAAGCCGGCCGTCCCGGCATAATTAAAGTTCCGTTTTAGTACGTCATCCAAGCCGATGGATGAAAGTGGCGTGCACTTTGATCAATCCCAAAGTATCTTGCTCATTTCCGTTCGAGAGACACGCGATGCCGTTTACCGGCGGATAAAAACACCGATCGCATTCTCTCGTGTTCCATCAGCGGCACGGTAAATCGTAGACGGGAATAATCCGTAGGAAGGAGAGCGAATTTTCTCAAAGAGGAACGACGGTTTCGCGAGACTGGCTTCATAGCGATTTTTTACCTCGGAAATGCTTACCGTTACGAGCCATGGAGTACAGGGAGTGATCGCGGCCTTTGCGTCGCAGCAGTTTGACCAGAAAGAACGCCAGGCTGACGATTACCACACAGGCGACCGTCAGACCGACGTACAGGGCTACGTCCATCTGGCGATTCTCTGCAAAAATCATCAGACACCGCGGATGCTTTTACGTCGCCCATTTCTCACGTTTATCCCGCAGCGAGACGGCCCGAGATCCGCCAGCTAAAGTTTCCGCGTTTCGTGCTCAAGTGCGCCGGACGATACGGCGCTTATTACTGTAAACGGCTGACAAAAACCGCGGGCTAATTTTCGTTACGCGCACCCGTAAAAGCCCCCGTTTCCTCATGAATACTTAACGTCCTAAGTTTTATTTACTTTTTTTTACGCGACGGACTTCTTTCACCGCGACAAAGAAGCCCGGGAAGTGCCGTGGGCAGAGTTAAACGCTCTCGCGTCGCTAAATATTACGAGCGCGTCGTCGTCGTCGAGGAGGGAAGTTTTAAGGTTCCTTTCTCTCTCTCTCTCTCTCTTTCCGTTTACGTGTCGGCGACACGCTCGTTTCGAGCGCGCGCGCCTCTCGTTTTCCTCGGCGCGTCATTTTATCGTTTTACAGCGTCGCGTTATTTCGTACGGCCGTAAAGATTCCCGATCGGCGTTATTATCGTCGCCATTAACGCGCGCGCAATAAAAGACGCCGCCGTAGACGGGGATACACGCCCCGCAGCGGAATAAGAAGGATGACCGCGAAAACCGCGGCGGTGTGTTGGAAACGATCGGGTGAAATCGTCCTCGCAGGCTGAGCTGCTATTAGCGGAGCGTGCGAAGAGAGTGCGCTGAAATTACGCGGCAAGAATATTACCCGCGATCCCCAGGACGTTCCGGGAGAATCGTTCGCCGGGGGGACGCGGTTACGCAAATATGAATTCACCGTGCGGTGCTTTACGGTCCTCTTACCTCCTCCTTCTCCCTCTCCTCGTACTGCGAATAACGTGCCAGCGGACTCGAGTCGAAATTATTGGCCTTATGTCGAACTTGGAATTTTACAAAGTGTAGGAGCTATGATAGCAAAAAAATCGTTTCGGTTTCAATATAATAATATTCTGATAATATAATTTACTTCTACTTCGACCTTAGCGGTGTCTTAAGTTTCCGCTGTTTTCTCGAAATGGATTTTTCAAGGCAGCATTGAAATTAAATCTAGAATGGATGGTTTAAGAGAGGAGTCAATAAGTGTCAGAATTTACAAAACAAATTTTCACTAGTCTATAGACCACTCAGGTAGGTGCGTCAAAGTAGCGCGAAAATTTCGACTCGGCGGGGGTAAAATAGCTGGTCGCGCGTATCCGAATTACGGGCGATCTTTCCTCTCGCTGAATTATCCTCGACTTTCGTATCAGGAGACCTACAGCGCACTGTAACGACGCGGTGCAGGAGGAGGACGACCCCGGGCTCGTAAAAATTTTCGAGAAATACCTCAAGCGGCAGCAAGCCGCGCGAGCCTGACACTCTTAAGCTTCTTCCAATTTTAGAATGTCACAGCCATACGCGAGGTCGTAACCTCGCTACGTGACTTCGTAGCCGAGGCTCCCTTACGCGGGGATCATCTGTGTCTCGTTGGCGCGCGCCGTGTTCCCCGACACGTGCTTCGCACGTCAATATACACGCGTGCGACGAAAATGCATACGAATTCGGCGGAGGGATTTCGTAAATGCGATGGTTCCGCGTCGTTACTCGCAGGACGCGCGTCGGCAAGACTTTCGCCCCGGGGAGGAGAGAGATCGGAAACGCGCACGCGGTATTCACCCCCTTGGAGACAGCTTGAAAAGTGGCTTTCCGCTGGGGGCGTCGGGATTTATTTTCTCCGAAGCCATTGATAACGCTTCATAACCCGGACTCGATGTATTTGAAGCTATTTATCATCTTTACTTCCGAGAGAAAAAGAGAAGGAGAAATGAGGGAAGTCGCGCGTTGGGAGAAACTTGCTGGTTCAATCGTTGAAAAATATATTCACTCATTTACTGGGATAATGACACGTATGTGCACGAGAAGAAATCTTGTCACAAGATACTGGCGTATATTTATTTCACTTTAAAATAGGTTATTCTTTCTGATTCCAATAAAACCGGCCCCGAAGAGGTTAATTTTCTTCACAATTTAGCGCAGCGACGAGGAATTGCTGCGCTACCTCATTCCCCGACTTTCCGATTTTCATCTCGAAGTATTCCGAGTGGTAATTCCTATTCGTCGCGTCATACGCGCTCGTGTATCGATCAGCGCGCGGCCTGTCCACTTTAAACGTTCCACCTCGATTGACGGCATCGTGTCTTAAATATTTACACCGCTACGTCCGAGATGACGGGGGTTTTCGCGCGAGGCGTAAGGCGGTAAATCGCATCACGTTCATCCGGCGCGCGCGCCAGAGAGAGAATTCGCGCACGCGAAAGTGTATCTTCCATCTATATTTTATCGTCGCTTTCAGGAAAATCGAACTCACTTCTGGATTCAAGGGGGCTGTTTCGGGGCATCCAATCCCCTCCGCCGGTTCTCTTCGTCTTACGAGGAGAGAAAGAGGGAGAGAGCGCTCGTGTACACGCTCGGGTCTGCGCCACGGGATAATGGCACTTTATTTGCATGCGCGATCAATTTCCCCCTTCCGCGAGGCGAGGGCGAACGGCTACCGATTACATAATTTTCTTCGATATTAAAGCCGCTCTCCGCCCCCAAAGGCGCAAAGGGGGTAGGAGAGGGTGCAGCCGTATCGCGTGCAACTTTGATGTGCCTCGGTCGATAGAATTGGCTCTACCTTAGGGTGCCGGCCGATCCAGGGCGAGAGGGGGGGGCGGGGGTGGACCAGTGGGCCACCCTACGAGCTACCGACTCATTGTTACGATTGTTTGGATCGAGCGCAACGAGGGGAGGTTGACGATCAGGCCGGACGTTTTCGCGGAGCGTCAATAATTAACCGGTCGAGTAATTAAAAGTAAATAGTGGAGCGCTGGGGGAGAAGCGCGCGAGCGAGCGAGAGAGGAGAGAGAGAGAGAGAAAAGCGCGTTCATTATCGACATGGAAAAACGCCGTTCGCAAATACGTCGCGAGCGATATCGCGGTCGCAGTCGTCGTTCTCTTTCTCTCTTTCGCTCCGCCGATGTATATCCGCGGAAATTTTATTTTTAGCGCTCACGCGCGATGAGATCGAAGCGCGTTGATGCACGACGCGACCGGGGCGCCTCGATCGCGTTATTATACCGGATTAATGAATAATGCTAATGTTCACCGCGCCTGGATTCACTCGGGCTTTCTCTCTCTCTTTCCTTCCCTCCCTCCCCCTCTCTCTCTCTTTCTCTCTCTCTGTATTTTGCGGCCTTCCTCGGGTCGCATAAAACATCTGATTTGAATGGTATCAGATCGCCGGCCGTAGCGCCGCGTCGCCGAGAATATAAATGGCGCGCACCGGGCGTGAAGAATCCATCCAAGAATGTCGCGCGACGAGTTAAGGACATTTGCTTCGCGGTCGAGCGCCTCGGTCGCGCCCTGCCGCGAGGGAACCACCTTCTATACTCCCTCCCTTTCTCTATCTTTCTCTCATCTCTCTCTCTCTCCTTCGTCCCGTTTTATTTTTCGCGAGCGTCTACAAATCCGGAACGAATCGGAGGAGGTCCGGTACATCGCGGAGAGATCGTAGCTTATCTAATCGAGAAACTTTTCTCTTTGCCGAGAGAGCGAGCGGCCGGTCGGACGCGCGGGAAACGACGCGAGGTAAAATCGTAAAAGGAAACGAATCGAGAGTGGGATTAAAAGAGCGGGGAAAATGCTTTATTGCTTGGCCAACTCACCTTCGTCGGTTAAATGAGCGCCGCCCACCTTCGCGTTGCCGACTGTAAAAGGAGAAGCGCCGGTAAGTTGGATAATTAAAGGATTTCGATAGCCGCGCCGCGTTTCGCTGATAAACTACTCTTCTCTCGCTGAAATCGCCGCGAATGGGTCCGTTAGTTAACGTTATTTGTTTCCTCGCGTTCACCGCGTCGCGGGTCGAGGTACGTCCAATCTATTTTCTTAGGAAACCTTCTTCAACTTGAACAGCATACTCATCGAAACACGATATATATACATCACTAAAGCGCATATCAGATTAACTAAAGATTACCTGCGACTACATTTTAGCTTCAACAGCTAATTCTTTCTCTGTATCATATTCCTAAGCGCGAAAAACGATTATTTCTTAATGAGTTTCTAAACATTACGTAGGTTCAATTGATATTCTCTCGCTGTAATGTCGGAGAGAGCTGTTTATCATGAATCATATTGCAAACGTTCAACACAAATTCGAGTTTCTTCGTCGTGTTGTATCAACCATTATTATCTCTCCGACGATATTGCCACGGACCAACTGCCTCAACGGAGCGCGCTTCGTTGATCTAACAAAAGTAGCTCCGCGGATTACACGCGGGGATCATTCCGCACGGAAGTCCCGAATAATATTCCAAGGCTCCGGGAGAGATATCTGCCGGTATTATTAAATTAGAAAACATCGTGTTTCGGCGGGATGGTCGTTATTAAATCTCCGCTGTCGAGCGAGTAATACTCGTTTTTGCGCTCCACGAGAGCGGAGTACATCGTTTCCGCGAGTTCGAAAGCCGAGAGAGGGCGGACCGCGCTTTACCGCGGAACTTTACGAGGCACGCAAGAAGATCCGGAGAAGTGCAATCAAGGGGCGGAAAAGTTGGCCGGTGACTTACCGGTGCACATGCCGCCGGTGCAATTCGCCACGTTGATGTCCCTGCCCTGGCAAGGTCGGCCGCCGTGGCTGGGCGGCGGCTCGTCGCACGATCTCCTCCTCGTGTGCGTGCAGTCGCTCCCACACACCGACCAGGTCGACCATCTGGACCATCCGCCGTCCACGACTGACGAGAGGCGCGAGAAGAAGAAGAAAAAGAACAAATGCTAGAATAAAGGATCGAGCTCCCGTGTCGTCGTCGACGTAGCGGAGTTAACGTTAACGACCGGGTCCTGCGATCGGACGACGACGAAGAAAGTTCGATGGGTTCGGAGAACGGGCTCGTAACTCGCGTGAATCCCCGCGGTCTCGTTGCGGGAGACCATACTTGTCAATTCGGGGCTACGTTTATCGCTGTGTCGGCGGCTCTTACCCTCGACGTTTATCTCCCGTGGTCGCATAATTGACTCGTATCGGCTTTTCTCGAGAAGGGAAGAAAGAATATGGGAAAAAGAGAACGATCCGAGTCGAAGTTTTGATTCCGCTTTGATGCTCTTAAGGGCGCGGTGAAAAGAATAAGGAGCAAGGAATTAAATATAAGAAATTAGGAACAAGACTTTAGGAATGAACTATAGTTGAAAACACAATAATGTCCTGCATCCAACCCCTCATTCCTTTTGTTATCTCTGATCGGAAATTTCGACTCGGGGAACGCGCGAGAACAACAGGAGGAGATGACTAACCGAAGACGTTCCGTTCGCATGCTGAGCCCTTCTCTCTTTCTTCCTCTTTCGTTCGCTCGCTTCAAGCCGGCATGCTTTATTGGCACTTAAGCGCCACCGGATAAACATAAGCGCGCGCTCCGACATCCACGGCTCGCGCTGACGTTTTATTAGAACGCTCCTCGCGTGTTACGCGTCGCGGATTAATTTCCGCGCGGACCCGTGATTCATGCACACACGTGAGAAGGACTTACCCAGGGTGTTAGTGAATTCCTCCAGAGCGCCGGCTGCTCCAGAGCGTGCGTTAAGGGGGGCAAGAAAAAAGAGCGCACAAGATGGTGAGAGAGAGTGTGTGCGTTGATGAAGAAGAAGGAAAAGAAGAAGAAGAGGAAGAAGCGGCTACTCGAAGAACGCGTTTTCACGAATTCGAGATCGATCAATGCCCCGCTGCTACTATACGCCCGATACATAAAGCGGTCGGCGACTCGCCCCCGGGCAGTCTCCCTCCGCGTCGTTTGCATGCGGCCCGCGTATCCTTTTGCGAGGATAGCCACAGGTGCCTTTAAGACGTCGTCGCGGACCTTGCGAAAGGTGAATGCGATTTAAAAGGCTCTCGAGAGGCCGTGACCACGCTCGACGAAAGGGACAGAAGGGAGGAGGAGAGGATCGGATCGTAAATCAAGCGAGAGTTTGCTCTCCCCGGTATATCGCATCGGTAATATCGCCTCTCTCGCAAAACCTACTCGTCTGTCGTTCGCGCGACGCAAGAAGAGGAAGAGACACCTTCTCTCCGCTCGCGCTTACACGTTAAATACTCCTCGGGCGACTCGTAACAGGTTGGGGCGCAACAAAGAGACGCGCGAGCCGGCGAAGAGAGGAGAGGTTTTCTTTTACTCTCGCGAGTATGTCGCGGATAATGAATTCAAGGGACTGACCGGGGCAGCCTATGTTGCAGTCCATCTTTTGCTGCGCCGGGCCGAGGCAGTTCTGGCCACCGTTCATGGGCGCCGGATTCGTGCACGTCCTCGTTCTCTTCTGGCCAGCTTTCGAGCATCGTGGATGGCACTCCGACCAGGAGGACCACGACGACCAGCCGCCGTTCACTGCCGAGCAAACAGCGAAAATGTTTTTTGAAACGTCGGGCAGACCCGTTCGACTGACTCGCGCGGAGGAAAGCGATTTAGATGGACGGCGAACACTCTCGTAACGAATAAGTAAATATACCGGATGTTTCTTACGCATTGTTTCAGGAGTTGAGATTTTGAGCTCATCTTGTATTGAGAGAAAAATGTTTGGTATTTGTTATTATAATTGTCACAGTGAAAGAATTATAGTCTAAGAGTGTAGGATGGAATCGAGAAGAATTCTTTGAGAAAAGGGTGAGGTGACTAAATAAGCTCTGTTTATCTGCTTTCCACTTAATATGTTGGAAACATTACACTTCTAATTAGGATCCGTTGAAATTTTCCAACTAGAATCCATAATTATTTTGGGAAAAATTGAACTGGAATTCCCATTAGATCGCGAGAAATTTTCCATGCGGGTGTCGTAGTTGCGACAAATCGCGGCCGTGAACTTACCGTAAACTGTTAAGCCGACCGGCTCGCTCAGTCGTTTCGCCGCGATATTTTCGGCGACGCACGTGTAGTTGGCCTGATGGCTAAGTTTGGCTTGACCAACTAGAAGGTGACCCTCGCTGGACACCAGAAGTGTGTCCGACTCGGTGTCCACCGGGATGTTATTTCTCAGCCAATAAACTCGCGGCGGTGGCACTCCCACCGGAGGTAGACATCTCAGCTCGGTACTTTGCCCGGCTTCGACAGACACGGAGTACGGTGGCGATTCGAATTGCTTCTTTAGATCTGAAAGACACGAATTTCACGTCCGGATAAAAGCCGGTGTCTGATAGTTATTCGTGTCGTCGGGTTTGAAACGTACATCAGCTTTCGATTTTATGGTATCGAAAGTTTCGCTTTTATGATATTTGAAACACTGTACCGAATTCTGTTTTACATTTTAATCTCCCCTTCACACAGCCTGCGAATGCGTCTTCCCATCTGTTCAAGCGCATTTTTGCGTCTGGCATTCGAGTTATGTAACTTCGAAATTGGCCAAGCGGTGGTCCCTTTAAATTGATTCTCTTGGAAACTCGACGCTCATCGCATTGTCGTCAATTAAGAGACGGAATTAAATAACGACGTGGCTGGTAGTAGAATCAAGATAATTACGAAGGGACGGAGACAAAGTGAGACGAAAAGTCGCCTGTCCCCGGAATTCAGCGCGACGTTTATTTCAAACCTCTCTGATTCACGTGCTGTCACTGTTTCCGAGAGAAAGAAAGAGCAAAAACCGTCCGGCTCGAAAATAAAAGGTTAACCCACTTTTTCGTGACGGCGTCGCCATTGTCGTCACAATTATTTTTAATTTTTTTATTGTTCAGACGTCAAGTTCCAGTTCCAGAGTGAATTTCAAAGCTAAAATCTCTTTAAAAAAGGAAAAGAACAAAGAAACTGTGGCGTTACGGTTATTTTGATGTGCATACTAGCGAATAACAATGAAAGATTAATTCGCTTTTGCGATAATATCACCGTCGTCGTAATTATTTTTAATTTTTAAGAATAATTACGAAATAGAATAAGTTTTAACTTGGATTTTTCTGTCTAATAAATATTTCCTAGGAATAAATTCTCATATTTTAAATACTATGAATTGAATATTTGTCGCGATTGTTTTGACACATGCAAACAAATATCTACCTATACGAAGGAAATATCATATTGTATATAGTCGATTATACTTCTAGTAAATATTTGACTTTTTTTCAGTAAACGTAATTTTGTTCGATAAGTACTAAATTGATGGGTATATCCTCCTTAATGCACCAGTGAAAATATGATACTGAGCCTTACAATCTCCTCAAAGAAGAAAAGAAAGGAAGAAATTGTCGTGTTGCGGTGATTTAAATACTCACAAGCAACGTCGATGGTCGCCGGCTGGCTCTTGATCTGCCCCGATCCGGACCAGGCGACGCACTCGCACTTGAACTTATCCTTGCCGAAGTACTCCTCGATGTGATCCCTCGTGACGTTGAGCTCGCAGTCAACGATCCGCGTGCCCGTGTGCGGATCCACGAAGTCCTGCTGTTGCGAGTCCTCCGCCCTCACGTTGTTGCAGCGGAAGAAGATCTGCAGCGCGTGGGCGGCCTTGCAGCGCAGAGTGGCTGGCTTGTTCTTCACGACGTATGAGTTGACGGGTTCCGTGAGGAAGACCGGCAGGTGACCGCCGCCCTCGGAAATCAGCTCAGTGTCGCTGGCTATCGTAGCCGAAGGCACGTCGTCCTCCTCCAGGTACGAGTCCTCTTCCTCCGCTGCGTCTTCGCCTTCTGACACAAAGAGATCGTGCGATTCTCATCAAACTGATATACATGTATTCTACATTTTACGTGTAAAATAACGATAACGGTTATATTCGCTTACCGTAATCGCCGGGATACTAACTAATACTAATGGAAAAAAAAAGAAAATAACGTCGTCACCAAGTCAGTCACTGGAAAAAAGTATCTCCTAATGGTGTGTTACATGTTAACGCGTCACTTGCCAAACCCGGAGCCGGATATGTCCGCGCGCAGTCGAGATTAGCTCGACACAGGAATTTATGCCAATTTGCAATGCGATGCCGGCTATCCCGGGATTATTTCTCGCAGTGGAAAAACTTGGCTGAAGTACGGCTGTATTTTTCAAATTCTCCGTTGACGCAAATGGATTAATTCCTACCGGTCTATCAGGCCGAGCGCCGAGCTTAATCGCCGATGTTTTACGTGCGCGAGTTTTCCGTTCCATATAAAACATCAACGATTAAGCGCAACGGATAATGTCGGGCATAAAGTCGCGCGATAAATCGCATCGATCGCGCACCGTCGTCATTACGCCGCTCGGCCACGCGATCAGTGGAAAACTGCAGTTGCGGGAGAAAGAGAGAGAGAGTCGCCGCGTGACTCGTAATTCACGATCCGGTTATTAATTCAACGACGATCGTTATGCGCCCGCGCGCTATCGGACTCGCGAAAATTTTATATTCGCCCGTCAACAATGGGCCGTGTCCCTCCTCCGCCTGTATAAATTCTGACGCCCGGCCATTAATGCTGACGCTTCGCGCGCGACGGCGGCCGCGACTCTGCGCGCGCTCCGCCGCGACTACGAACAATCGCGCACTGCAGTAATGAATTTTCGGATTTACGCGGCGCACCGGTGCACAAGTCCGTTGTATTTTCCGCCAACGAGTGGTTAGACCTTTATCCCCGTGCGACATTTGGCCGGGGGCCACAATTTCCATCGCGATAAACGCGCGCCACCCCGTGGCCGCTCTCTTCCTCTCTTCTCCTCTCTCTCTCTCTCTCTCCCTCGTCCTCTATCGAGAAGCTTAAAAACAAACTGCAACGTGTCAGTAATAAACTGTCTGCGTTCCATTTTTTATACAGTGCTCAATTTGTCAACATAAAATCCGATATCGAGCGTACGTTTGCGCCGTCGCGATATAAATACCGGGATGGAAAAAGCATACGGCCGCGTTAACGCCAGCAGCGCGAGAAACGAGGTATCGTCGAGTATCGAAGTCATTGAATTGCAGCGGCGTCGGTGCGCGTGATAAGCGGCCATGCGATGTACATCACGGGATCAGTGCGACGAACGAACGCGGGCTGTCTTACGACCGATCGTTTTTCTCCCCCTTTTTTTTTGTTCTACGACGAGGCATGTAAAATAGACGGCTTCGGATCGCGAACAATTCGTTCGCTGGCAAAACAAACGCTATTTCGTCCGGGCTCCCCATGCGCCGGCTTGTGCCCGTTAATTTCGTCGAACGTATTCGCAGCGCATTCCCGAGTTAACGAAATCAGATGTTTAGCGCGTTAAAAAGTGTTTAGCATCGTTCTTAAATTGGTAAAAATATTACTTAATTCAAGAAGCTGAAAAACAGGTAATTACTTGATTCTAACACTTTTTTCCTGCGCAGCCGGCCTGTGTGGTTTGAAGCTAGTAATTAGCTGGAACAGGTTAGGTTTAATTTTCTAGCTCGTTACCAGTTCGTTACTATTATGATTATTCACTAAAATGTATAGTCAGTTATGTGATCTAGCCGTTGTTGCTTTCTAAGACCGTATAAAAAAATGTACATGTAGAAATCATGAACATTTAGGAGGAAGCAAAGAAATACAAACAGAAGTATTGAGTGAAAAGAGAAGTAAAGAAAAATTATATAAAAAAAGGAAATAACAAAAAAAAATGGTAAGAAAATACACATATAAATTCTTATTTATATGTGAAGAATTGGCGACGATTAAAGAGAGAGACATACGGGCAGTGAGGAGGGGAGGAAGGGGGTTTTTACGATGGCGGTGATGTTACAATGGGGTTGAGAATTGCCAAGGGTTGAATGGGACGCAACGGTGACGGCAACGGCGGCGGCGTCGGAGCCAGCATTCGGTAACGCAACGCACTCGTACGCGAGACGCAAGTAAAATAGGATTTTCATCGGTTTCCGATAATTCGAACAGATCGGATGGCCGATAGGAACCATCGGAATCATTCTACCCGCTTTCGCCTGATGGCGAATTCATCCATACAAATTCTCGTTAGCCGTTTTGGATGCATGCGGCTAGTTCGTTAACCGTCCCGAGCGTGTGTGTATGTGTGTGTGTATTGTCCGTTGCATTCGTCGCCCGCAGTTTGGTCGTAGGATGCGATATCTCGTCATCGGCCTGAGAATACTCAGACAGTGCATATTTTTTACGAGACGGAGGTCTGATTAACGGTCAAGTTACGAAACTTCAGGTAGTTCCGTCACGTTTAGGTGTGTTCGGCTGTTACATACAGTGCCGTTAACGCTACTTATCAGCTCGCTGTACGTTTATTTTGCAACCGATTGGATTATTCTTTTGAATCTATAATCCGATTTCAGTACAGAAAGCTGCCAACAGTTGCAAAATAAACGTTCTGCTGAACGCAACGGGTATTCAACAAAGGTGACCGCCAATTTTGTCGATCCAACATCGCTTTTTTCTCAGTGCGACACGCCAGATATGTCGATGGGCGTCGCGCACGAGTCGTCATCGTCACTTTCGTCATTACGTCGTGATCATGCGTCTCGTTCGTTACGTAACATACGTACGTCGCGTGCGAAGGGATCGCGTTTAACACACCGATGCCGAGCGGAGTAACTCTCCGATTCGAACGGCAGTTCGACGTTCCGTGGCCGTCCCGTGCGCATTTTATAGCCGCTCGTCCGACGACTCGCGGACGATGTATAATTTCTAACCGTGATCTATTTGCGCGAGGTAACAACGCATTCCGATAGCGCGAAGGAAAAGAGAGCGCATGCGATAACAAGATGTGGAATTTAATCGGGCGACGTCACGCGACGCGCGGTAGTGGAATGGGATTTTCATTGGTTCCCGATAATAATTCAGCAGGATCAAATCATCGATAGGAGCGCGCCGGGCGATTCGATTTTTCTGTCTCTCCCGATTGCCCCGCTTCGTCGTCGACGATTCGCGCGAAAATCGCGCGTAGTTTTATTAATTTCCATAGTGACACGGTTAATTCCTTCCTCTTGGTTTCTCGGTCGGATCGAGACTCGACCGTAACTCTCGAGCGTGGCCGGGGTCTTTAAACGCCGAAAACAAGAGCACGGAGAGAACGAAGCGAGCACGAAGCGGACGGCTTAATTGAGGCAGGTCACGCGACAGCGTACATGCCGAGTCAGCGGCGGAAAAAGTTCTTCCATCGGTTCCAGATAATTATTCCGCGCGACCGCGTGGAATCTTGGCCACAATGAATATTCGATGATCGCGGAGCGTCACGATCATTACTCATTTCATACGCGCGACGTGGGTCGCCAGGTGAAACCGTCCGCCCGCCCGCGACTACTGCTACGTGACGCAACGCAGGTCCTTGACTTCCTTTTTCCCTCCCAGAGACCCGTTCTTATCATTTTACTAAGAACCATCGATCGTCAGATAATCCCAGAAATTCTTCGCTTCCCAATTCTCCTCGTTGATGATTATCGTTCCCGATAGTTCAATCTCGGGGCCCGTATCCGGATATATATTATAGGGGAAAGTAGGATAAGTAGTAGGAAAGTAGTAAGATAGAGGATAATGACGCTCGCTTCAGGGAAAACTGAAATAACACGTTCAAATTGGCACAAACGTCAATACTTGTTTAAACGACATTTTAACCCCCCGAGTATTCTCAACGAATTGTAGCAATATAATTTATTATTACGAAAGATTCGCAGCAAAGAATGTTATTATGGGACCACTTTTGGACTTTAGCTATAAAGATAGAGCTATTTTTTCTAGTAACTGTTACTATAGTGTCAATGACAATAATCTTATGCACATATTGCTTCTACTATAAAATATAGGTGACACCGAAAGTAACTATAATTTTCTATCAATGCGGAGACTTATAATGGGGTTCGCGAGGAATAGCACCGATCACGCGTTTGCAATACCGTTCCATTTGAAGATTCCATTTGAATGAGCGAGATTACCCGCTGAGCATCATTATCCTACTTTCCCTTAAGTAGCCGATAAACATCGTCAATTCTAAGAATTGACTGAGATACTGCAAATATATTTATCGTAAGAACTTTAACTCATAAATATCGAATTTCGGATAAAATTGGAAAAACTCATAAATATCGAACTTCGGATAAAATTCGAATAAAGCATTCGTCGCAGAATCCTGTGAATTGAACCGTCTTTTCATTCCCTGCATTCAACACGATTGCCGACCGATCGCATAAATCTACCTTTTCTTCGATGATCGTTGATCGAACGATCGATGCACTTTCGGTGATTCCGGAGAGAAGAATCATTGTTTTTACTTTTAGATTTTATTACGTCGACTTCTGTGTTGCAAGAATTGCAAAAATTCAGGTCAAGATACCTGCGCCGCGTACTGTTAGCGAATTTACGTAAGACGTAAGCAGCAAGCAAATTGACCAATCGCAGTCAATTATTTCCTTTATAAGGGAAATAATCGACTGTGATTGGTCAATTTGCTTGCTGCTTACGTCTTACTATTTACATTTTTGTACGTGCCGTGGGTGTCTAAGGCGCAACTCACGTGCGGTTGGCAGTACGTTAACGTTGCGTTTCGATATCTCGCTCGCGTAACACGTATCTCGGAATTAGTTTTCCCATGTGGAAAGCCGCGTTTACGTTAATCCGACGGCGTCGGCGAATAATACAATGTGTGATATCGGGAAAAAATCGTGCAACAACGGCGGCTCGCCGGCCTAATCGGGCGGCGTCACGCGACACGCGGCGGCCGTGTCGGCGGCTAACTTGCTCTCTCTCTCCCTCCCCGCTCACCGGAG